CTGCCACACCAGCTGCCCTGGCCTTGGCTATCAGGGGCCTAGCCCTTCTAGCGGAAAGTGACAATGACCAGGCGGCCTGTGAAGGCTCCAGCTGACAGCTGGGAGGAGCCTACACTGTGAAGTCTGGAAGGCCTGGGTTCCCAGGTCTGTTCTGCAAATGGGCCAGCAGGTTCGGGGAGGAGTGGATGTGGCAGCCTCTGGGAGTAACATCCAGGGCAACATGGAGGCAGGAAGTAGAGGTCCAGACAGGCTGGACCTCAAGCTCCATGAGCGCAGGAACATGCTCTGCTCTTTGCTGCAGCATGAGCAGGACAGAAGATGTAACAGGCACACAGCAACATACCTGATGAGTGGACATGAGGGTGACGGAGCCTGTTGTACCTGTCCAGCAGAAGGGGCCCGGGCCCGAGGGAGCTCAAGTGACAGTCACACTCCTCATGCTTACTCTGTGCATACATAATGGGGCATTCCACCCTTTCACCTAAAACCCAAAGCATCTCTCCATCTTCCACAGAGCAAATATGAGCTACAATCTCCAGGGCTAACACTTCACTAGCCATTCCCCTAATCCTGACAATTCACGGTTTCCTGCATACTGGACCAGTCAAAGAATTAGGTGGCAAGGATGGTGAAGCAGCAGCACAGTAGGTGAACCGGCTCTGGAGGTGCCCCCATAATTCCAAAGCCCAGCTCCTCCCTGTATTAGTCATGTGCTTGTAGGGAAGCTACTTATCCATTCTGTGCCTCAGTTCTGTCACCTATAAAACTGGGAAATGGCAGCAGCAAGCAACCAGGGTGGCCGTGGGTGTTGAATCTGTCAAAGTGTGTAAGGCTGTCAGAAGTGAGAGCCCAACAGCTGACCCTACATGGATACTCACCAGCTCACCCTCAGCACTCAGCTCAGGTCTCTGCAGTTCCCCTGATGGGAGTCCAGGAAGTGGGACCACTAGGTCAGCCGGAAGCACTGTGCACAGAGCACCTATGAGAATCCCAGCAGCACTAAGAGAAACAAGGGTCTTCTCTGCTATTAGCCCAAGAACAGGGCCCAGAGAACCCAGAAGGGAGGCCCACCCTGCCGGGAGCCCTGGTCCCAGCATCTTTCCAGGCAGCCCAGAGAGAAAGCAGCTCTCCTGCAGCATGCAAACCCAGATGGGCCCACGCCCAGGACATGCAAAGTCCTGCCTCTCAGCCGTACTCCACAGACCCAAGGTTGATATTTTATTTTAAATTCATAACTTTCTATTATTTTTCCCCAAAGAGGGCCTCCCTTTGCAAAAGTTTCAGGACCCAGGAAACCAGAACTGCACCTGTGCATGCCACCAATCTGTTTGTCTGTTTCTCTTGCTAACATATCAGCAGCTTGGGAAGAGCTCTTCTCTTCCTGTTTTATCTCCAGTGCCAGCAAAGTGCCTGGATGGTGGGGAGCACTCATTCAGTGCTTGTTGGATGACTGAGTAGCTGAATAAGTGAATGAATGAGAAGGAAAGGGAATCATAGCCTGACCTGAAGGCTCTCTCTTCTTTCCCCTCACTCTGCTTGGATCTCTTCTTCAAATTCTCCTTACAAGTTGATCCCTCCCTATCCAACAGCCTTTCAGATACTCAGAGCCACTGGCTGCCCCAAGTCTCTCCACTTCCTGAGACACACCCCTTGTCCCTGCCTCTGTGGCTCTTAAAGGTTATCAGCAGGGGAAACTCCACCAGCTCTTCCCCTCCAGGTTTCTAACAGATGACTGCCAGTGTGTCCATTTATCTCCTCCCAGGCCTTGGCCTGCAGTCTGTCTCTGGACCTGCCTATAACACTGACTCCACCCAAAGGAAATGCCTGAGTCCTGAGAAGAGGGAGGGGAGTCCATGTCTGACCATGTTACTCCGCCAGGGAAAACACAGGCCTGGCCACAGCACCCTGCCGAGGAGGTAATGTGCTCACCCTCTCCAACCCCACCCTACTGCTTGTTCCCTGGCATGGCCCTCTCTGTCCCCCACTCCTGTGTATTGGCTCCTCCCATCCCCACCCCTGGCTGGGATGTGATCCTGAGCAGCCCAAGAGAGGGAAGGTGCTCAGAAACACTTGCTGACATGAGAATGGAGCTGGGATTTACCCAGCACACACACTGCACATATTCTGCAGACAGGACCAGGGCCCTCTGGTCTGTGGGGACCCGCGGTATAGACACGTTGAAGCTGAGACCTTGGCATTAGTGTAGGTCTGCCAGGAGAATGCCAAGCCACAGGAAATGCGGGCTCACCTGGCGGAGAGGTCCTGTTCTGCAATCATACCTTCCCTCTAATCCATGGCTTTGCATGCACATACCCCCCCCCCACGCAGAAACACTCACTCCCATGTGCACCCCCAGACTCATGCATGCCCACACCTCCAGGTGTGTCACATACACCCACAGAAGGGCACGGAGTGGTTCAGCCCACACAGGTTCCTGGGGAGCAAAGGATGTGGAGTCCATCAGTGCACCTCAGCCAGCCTGCTGCTTCAAAGACCAGAACCTCTGGTCATGGGGACAGACACTCCCACAGTGCTGGTTTTTCTCAGGAAACTGTGACATACTCCGTGGGCCTCGAGGTGAAGTGTCAACAGTCAGACAGGTAGGTGCTGCCCGTGAACTGCCACTTTTCCTAGCTGGGTAACAAGGTTCAAGTTTATTAGCTTTTCAGGGTCTTGGTTTCTTCATCTGTACTTGGGCACCTGGGTGGACGGCAGCAGGAACAGCAATAATGGGCCCAAGACAGTGCCTGATCCAGTTTAATAAAGTGGTGGTTGGGGTGGTATTGAGCTGGGAGTGGTGTGATTATTCAGCATCAATACAGACCCAAATTTCAAGAGGGTTCTAGCATCATCCTGTGAATGCATGGTGGTTTTCACATATAGGTAGGTCAGCTTAGAAATGATCTAGAGAAGTGTATGGATGCATAGGTAAATGTGCATATGATGTACATAATAAGTATGTGTGTGTGGTTGTGCGTCCACATGTGTTTGTTCGTCCACATGTGTTTGTTCCATAGGCACACACATACTCCCTGGCTGTGTCTGCTTAGGGGGCCTAGAAGCAATGTGACCCCAATAGCAATGAACACAACCAGGGGCCAAGATATCCTTTCTAAATTTCTTTCTCCCCTGAAAGGAACCAAGGCTCTCTGAAAAAATGCTGATTCCACAGAAAATCTCGGTCATTTCCAGATGTAAATGAACAGAATATGAAGCAACTGCATCTTTTCTCATTAACTGACTTTCTGCCTTGTTCTTGTTCCTTCCTGGGTAACCCAAGCACAAGACAGCCCACCCTTAAACACCCAAACTGGAGGCTGGTGGCCATCTAGTCTCTCCTCTCTTCCCTCTGGGGTGACACCCGTAAACTGTTTCAGGGACTGGCTTGTGTGACTCCCCTCTTTATCTGGTGGTGCACCAAGCGGAACCTCTGGTTTTGCCCCAGTCCTGTCCCTTCCAAGATGGCGGGCCACTGCCAGGTCCAGGCCGCTTCACCATCTCCTGCATAAAATTGTCTGTTCTGTGCTCAGCCCCCTTCTGAGATGTGATGAGTTCCCAAGCACTGATACATTGTTCAATGGGTTTTTTTCAAAGTAAACCCATGACCGTGACTGGGACCCCAGTTCTCCTTTGTCTCTATCCTTCCTCATTGTTCCAAGGCTCACAGACACTTTCTCTTGAGCACATTTTCTTCCTCTTTGTTTCTATCCCTCTTGCCCATGTCTTCACCACCTGGAAACACTGTGGAGATTGGTCGTTTCCCATTACAGAAGGCCACATCCAGCACCTAGACTACCTATGACCATAGAAGGGCTCAAGCTTGTGTTTCTCCATCTATTTTACTGTGTAAAGCCAAGAAACCCCAAGGCCTATGTGGCTTCATTTCTATGTGAATTCATATGCAGAGACCGCACTCCCCAAGAAATTGTAAAAGTAATTCTCTTTTTAAAGACAGAGAGATAGGGGTTGGGGGTATAGCTCAGGGACAGAGCACTTGCCTCATATGTGTAATCACCAGCCAGCACCACAAAAAAGAGAAAAAGAGAGATCTTCACCAATAATCATGTAAAAAGAACCGTTGTACACACACACACAAACAAACACACGCGCGTGCGTGTGCTCACATCAACCTTCTTTCTTCTTCCACAATGGTTGCAATCATTTCCGAGCTGGGTTAGGGACAGGCAGGGTAAAGTGACACATTCCAGGGTGATGACTTCTTTCCAATCCACTGTTTCCTGATGGTAGAAACATCCCCAGCACTCTCTGCCCATATAGTAGCCACCAGTTCCATGTGGCTATTGAGCACCTGAAATGTGTCTAAGTGTGATTTAAAACTGAAGTTTTCATTCTATTTAATTTTAATGCAGTGGCTCCAGATAGAAAGCTCAGCTCTAGACCACAGAGCACCTACTCCAGGCTCTGCAGCCACAGGGTCTCTGTCACAATGACTCCCCTGCTACCAAGAGGTGAAGACACCTGCCAGATGGCTCCACAAATGTGGTTGTGTCGGTTTTCCCCACAAAACAAATAGCCTGGACCTCAGTGCCCAAAGACAGCACATGGCCATGACTGACATTGGTTGACAGCACATTTCTTCTGGTCTGGGGGGCTTGGCTAGAGGTCATGTGATTTATTTGCAAAACCAGCCCAGGCCAGGTGTGTCCCATGGACTGTGGTTTACCGCTTGCTCCGGAGCACAGTGAAGCATTGTGCCTGCCCTTCTTCAGCTGGCTGGCACTTGTCATAGAAGGCTGTTCCTGCTCCAAGTGTCTGGTTATCAGTTTTCATGAGAACTTAACAGGCACTCCCAGGACCAAGAGTGGCTGCCTGAGACTTCATCAGGGCTGCCTTTTCTCTCTGAAGGGCAACTCTGCCAGGGGAAGTCTGGCAGAGCAGGCCAGGTCCCACAGAGACCAAGAAATAGCCCGGCATCTCCCCTCCCCCTGCGACAGTCCATGGGGGAATGTGGAGAGGACGGCACATCCCACAGCACTCACCTCAGAAGGCCAAGGGGCTGTCCATCCCCGGTCCCCAGGCAGACTCGTCCCTTTGCTCGGCACAGTCCTCAGAGTTACCGGCTGCCTGCCACTGGCGTTTCCAGCCAAGGAAGTGGAATCTGAAAATGGAAAGGAAGAAGACAGCGCAAGTCAGCTCTGACATTTTACTTCATCCACTGCCTTGTCAAGATGACTCAAGGCGAAGAACATAATCCCCCCACTTGGCCACTTGGCCACCCCAACACTCACACCCCACCCAGGTCCTCCCCAACACCGCCTCTGCCCCATGCTCAGAGCAGGACAGTGGGGCAAGGAACTCACACCTCCGGGCCTCAGGGGGCTCGGGCCAGTGTAGAAATGAAAGGGGACAAAGCACAGTCGCATCAGGTCGTGGGACACAGGGTGAGAAGATGTTTGGCAGAATGGAGGAAGACCTGGCCAACTCAGCCTGGAAGAGCAATGTGGACAGGAGGGGAGAGTTGCAGCCACGGCTCAAGGGCGGGACAAGTGAGAGGCCGGTGGCAGAAACAAAAGGCTGTGGAAAGCACCTCCAAGGGCCGAGAAAAACAGGTTAAGATTTGAAAGTGCAGTGTGAACCTGGCGGGGAGCAGACCAAAGCCACAAAGGAAGGGGTTGCAGAAGACTTCAGCTGATAAGAGCAGCGGCAGAAACTGCTGAGTTCTTGTGGTCCCCAGCCCATGGATGCACACACCATGCATTTCCCCATCTCACGCTCTACCATTGTCACCGAGGTTGTCATCCAGTGATTCCCATATTACAGATGGACAGCTGAGGCCTCAAGAGCTTCTGTGAGCACTCTTGCCCCATGGCAAAGGTGGTAAGCGACAGGAAACAGATCATAGCATTGACAGCCATTGTGTCTGGTTCCAGAGTTGCTGTGATGCAATAATGGGCACAGCTTGCTTAGGCCACCTGGATGCAGAGCCCTCTGCTGGGTGGCTCTGTCCCCGCTCTGACATGAGGAGAGTCCTTTCTCCATGCTTAAGTATGAATTTGGCCATGGCCGTGCTCTGGCCAGTGGCACAAGAGCAAGTGTGACACAAATAAAGGCTTACAAAGTGCTTGTGCAGGGGTTGGAGTGTCGCTCAGTGGCAGAGCGCGTGCTTATTAGCATTTGCAGGCTCTGGGTTCGATTTCCAGCACTCCTCCAAAAGTGCTTAGTGCCCCTTTCTTGCTGCAGAAAATCATTCTACTGCCATGTTCACAGGCCTGGCCCAGCCCCATGGAGCATGAGAAACAGCATGGAGGCAGGCCTGGGGCATCGTGCCAGGGTAGCCAAACCCCCAGATTCATGCATGAGGCCATCACAGGCAATCAAACCCTAGCCACGCTGCACAGACGAGAAGAAATCCCCATCAACCCACCGTTGGGAGAGATCATGCATGTTTGCTGTCTTACAGCCCTGAGATTTGAGGCTGTGGGTTCTGCAGAGAAAGTTAACTGAGAGGACCACTAAGGTAGCTGCGCACCGCGAGCAATGTCCATGTAACACAACCAAGCAAGAATCTGGACATCAGCCTGTGCTGGTGACCGGCAAGGGCAGGACTAGGAGCAAGGGGAGGGGTGCGAGATTCTAGATCTATTTCAGATGTAGTCAACGGGAATAGTGACTGAGCGAAGACTCCTGATTTATCTAAGGCTGGTTCTGGAAACTATGCACTGCATGATGTTGACTATAAACAGATTCTATTTGGAGCTGGCTGACAGGCAGGATGTTTACATGAATGACACACAGACGTGGCCAGAGAGAAAGTGAGGGCTCCATGTCTCAGAATGGAAAGCCACAGGAATAACTCGCTTGCCTTCTAGTCGCTCCCTGTTCCAAGGGAGAAGGAGAGGGAATCAGTGCCTTCTGAGCCGCACACCATCACCACCGACTGCACACCAGCCCTGTTAAAGCAGCCGCCAGACCAAACCTCCCTTTCACCAGCACACGTGCCCCCTTTCCCTCTGCTTTCCATGCATCCTTAGGTCCTGAGTATAAACAGCACTTCCTAAGGTCCCCAGAGGACCCCAGAGCTCCTGCATGGCCTGAGCTCCTGTGGACCTCCTACCCCCGGCCTGTTCTCTTCAGGAGGTGGGGCGGTGGGTGTCAGCCCCCTGCTGCCCAACAGCATGTGGAGAAAGTCAATTACTGCCTCTTGAGTGACAGAATGTACAAAGCAAGTCAGGGATTACACTTCCAAGGTGTTTTCCATGCCTCACGACCTTCCAAACTCTGCGCTGGGTTAGAGCCAGGACCTTAGGATGCCCATGGCTTCCTGGGTTTGTCTCCTCCATTCAGGTGTTCTTTTGTCTATTCTTTTTATTTTTTTCGGCACTGGAAATTGTACCCATGGCCTTTGCACTGTTATATCCCCGGCCCCTTTTTCATTTTGAGACAGGACCTCACTCAGTCACTAAGTTGCCCAGGGTGGATTTGGGCTTGCCATCCACCTGGCCTGGCCTTCCCAGTGTTGAGATTGCAGGCTGGGCCTGCACCACCACAGCTGGCTGGTACTTTCTTTCATTCACTACAGCTTTACACAGCACCATGTATCACCTCAACCCTCTGTCAGTGGTGCTCACTAGACTTAGACTCTCAGGGTGAGGCAGGGGCTGCTTCTTACTATCATTGGCCCCCTCCCCCCGGCAGGCTGCTGCCTTGGTAAGAGCCACTCAATAGTGACTACTGAATGAATGGATGGATGAGCAAGAGATGAATCTCTGAGTGCCAGTTGGAATGTGGCTAGTTTATCATTTAGCAGGAGCAAATACCTGAGCTTGGGCCTTAAGCATGTTGTATCTTACTTAAATAATTAATAATCATCATCAGATAAACTTGCATGTATTTATGCCTATTTAGGATATGTACTGTAACTCTCTTATTCCATAAAACATAAGGAGGAAATCTGAGAAACAGATTAATGTGGAGCCCTGCTTGCTCCTGCTGGAGCCATGGGTCTCCCACTCCTCCACCTGGCACATGTAAGTGTCAATTAGAGCCCAGAACTCTCCTTGGAGTCATGTAAAATTCTAAGCCAATTCTTTCACGGGTCTTGAGTTGGATTTTTTTGGAAAGTAAGTTGGCAATTGCCCTGGGTTCTTATCCCCAAGTGGCCAGCAACTAGGGGGCTTTTAAACACCAGATCTGCACACCTAGAGCATAGTTCATCTCCCACAGCCTCAGTTTCTCATCTTCTCTAGCACAGCCCTGGGCTGTTACACACAGAGAAGGCAATGATCCCGCTGTCTTCCCACTGCTGATCCCACAAACAGTCTAATTAGCTGCTTCTACTTCCTTTGCCTTTTATTTTTTAACACGTCCTGGAAACCTTTTCTGAAATGCCACATCGCAGCTCAGTTCCTGTAGAGCCCTACCACCAGGCCTCTTTCTATATTAACTGCTGCTTCCTGAGCCCTTCCAAGACTGCTTCCAATTAAGAATAACAACTAAATTCTTACTACTGAAACATCTCTGGACTGTGTTCAGACACAAGAGTCATACAAGGAAGACAAATCTGACACAGTCCCCATCTTCTGGGAGGCCCAGGAAAGGTCCTGTGATCCAAGAGCCAAAATTAAGCACACTCAAGTCTCACAGAGATGGCCCCTCCAAGTCCCACAAAAGGTCCCCCTGTCCCCAGCTGGGGAACAGTGCAGTTGGGCTTCGGATGGAGGCTTTAGACTCCATGTTGAGTTCTTCCCACTACCGAGCTGATCTGTTCTCCACCTGCCACACCCCACCCATCCCCTTCGTTTCTACCCACCCAACAGGCAACCTAGGACCTCAGTAGGGAACTGTTGGCCCTACACCATGGAACCTTGAAGCAAGAAAAATGTCTACCAACTGCGGATGGAGCACAGATTAGGACAAATTTCAGTCAGACAAATCAGTTATGTTCTTACTTTTCCTGTTCTGGATCCATAAATCATTCCTTCTTTGGCCCTATTGGTACATCTTTCACAGCCCTTCTTGTCATCTGATGTTCCTTTCTATTGTACAATATAATACAATAAATCTTACCTTATTTGTTCTCCAATTTTGTTCCCTCTCAGAGTAGGGCTGGGGACTAGAAATAAAATTCAACATCTCTCCTGGAGGAGCAGAGCTCACTTGCTTAATATATCATAGCTTTTCCCCTCCACGCGGGAAATGATTGTCTGAATAACTGTTAACACAGTTTGGCTGAATAGCATCACTGCATTTGTAGATTACAGAAATCTTTCCTCAGAGGCTTGTGGCCATGTCATGTTCCAAAACAGTGTGGCCTGCTTCTGTGTGTGTCCACAGGCAAGGCTAGCCCAGTCGAGTTGTTTGATTTTACAAAAACAGGCTTCTTCTGAGACTTAGTCACTGCTAAGATGCACTTTGACACTCAGGACTGTGTTGTAAAAAAATGAGCAAAAAACCAACAGGAAATCATTTTGATAATAATAAAATAAAAGTAGTAGTAAAAATAGCAGATGACATTTTTAAGTACTACTAGCACTTTGCTAAACTAAGTCCTTTGTGCTCTACTTAAAAGCTCAGTTAATCCTCATGACCCCTGGATATACATTTTCATCATTTAAAGATGACTACATGGAAGCTTGAGATTACATAACTTGCTCAAGGTCATATGACTAGCAAATATTTGAGACAGAAACATAAACTAATTCCTAATTAAACTCAACTATGAAGTGCAGAACTGGTAAAACTTGCTTCATTTGAGCATTCACCGAGCCCCAGCTGAGGCTGGGCTAAGTCCTATGCTTTGCTTTGGCAGGGACAACAATACACTCTTAGACGCTGCACTTAAGAAGCTCACTGTCTAGGGAGAAGAACAAAGGCTCAGCCACAAGGAGCCACGACACTTTGTACCACATGAAAAACTGTAAGTGTACAGGTGGGTGGTTTCCTAACTGGAAGTCCTGTCCAGAACATGATGCTTGTGGAGAATGAGAGCAACCTGAGGCTGTCTGGCCAGATCAGTTTGCAGAGTTGCTCGCAGCAGCCAGGCAAGGGCAGACAGAGAAGCTGACTGAGGCATGCCGGGGCCATGTAGGAGGATCTGTGTAAGTGTCCACAGCAGGTCTGCCGGCCTGGCTCGGTGTCAGAATTGAGTTTAAGGCAGAA